GCAGCTGGGAAGGAGCTTCATGCCTAAATGACTTGTTCCAGCTCACACAGGAAAGTTTATTTGGGTTCCTTGACCATGGGATGGTGTTCCAAGAAGAAGGATTGATAAGCAGCTGCGCTCTTCCAAGCCCCAGCCTACTGCCTTTACATCTCTGTTCTGAAAAATTAATCATTTTGACAGGGTGGGTGTTCTGAAGCCCCTAATATTCTTAGCAAAATAGAAGACCTTTTAGAATAACTAAATTCTGAACTGTCAGGCTATGTCTACACTGCAGGCTTCTTGCGTAAGAATGGCCGTTCTTGCGCTAAAACTTGAGGAGAGTCTACACTGCACAAGCGTTCTTGCGCAAGTAAATTTACAGTAAAGCATCAGAAGAGAGGGCTTCTTACTCAAGAGTTATTCCTCTCCCCATGAGGAATAAGCTCGCTTGCTCAAGAGTTCTTGCGCAAGAGGGCAGTGTGAACGGACAACAGGGGTTTCTTGCGTAAGAAACTCCTATGGCTAAAATGGCCATCAGAGCTTTCTTGCACAAGAGTGTCCCCATTGCCATGGACGCTCTTGTAAAACACATCTCTTACGCAAAAGCACATGGTAGTGTGGACGCACTGTTGCACAGGAACTTTTGTGCAAGAACTCTTGCACAAAGCAGTTCTTGCGCAAGAAGCCTGCAGTGTAGATGTAGTCTCACAGTATAGAGACTCTGCTACACAACAGCACAAGTAGGTACAGTTCAAAGGGGGCATGCATTTGGATGAATAGTCTTTGTACTCACATCTTTCTTGTAAATAGATGTTTATTTCCTGAATAATGGGAGCAATGATGAATTGTTACATCACCATTTGATAAATGCAATTTCCATTATACAGTAAATATTTTAAAAATCCCTTTATGAATGAAACCCCCCAGAGAGAAACCATTAAGGAATTATGGTAATATGTTCAGAATTAGTGGAATGGATACGGCTTCTCATGACCGTCTTATTAATAAACTAGGAAAAAACAACCTAGATGGGGCTACTACTTATAAGGTGGGTACATAACTGGCTGGATAACCATTTTCAGAGAATAGATATCAACAGTTCACAATCATGCTGGAAGGGCATAACAAGTGAGGTTCCACAGGGGTCTGTTTTGGGACCAGTTCTGTTCAATATCTTCTTCAACAATTTAGATGATGGCATAGAGAGTACGATTATAGTTTGAAGATGATACCAAGCTGGGAGGAGTTGCAAGTGCTTTGGAGGATAGGGTCATAATTCAAAATGATCTGGAGAAACTAGAGAAATGGTCTGAGGTAACTAGGATGAAATTTAACAAAGACAAATGCAAAGTACTCCACTTAGGAAGGAACAATCAGTTTAGGAAGCGATTGTCTAGGAAGGAGTACTGCAGAAAGAGATCTAGGAGTCATAGTGGACCACAACCTAAACATGAGTCAACAGTGTGACACTGCTGCAAAAAAAGCAAACATGATTCTAAGATGCATTAACAGGAGTATTGTGAGCAAGACACAGGGAGTCATTCTTCCGCTCTATGTCCTGTTCTCAGCACCACATTTCAAAAAAAGATGTGGAAAAATTGGAGAAGGTCCTGCGAAGAGCAACAAGAATGATTAAAGGTCTAGAGAACATGACCTATGAAGGAAGACTGAAAGAATTGGGCTTGTTTAGTTTCGAAAGGAGAAGACTGAGAGGGGACTTGATAGTGGTTTTCAGGTATCTAAAATGGTGTCACAAAGAGGAGGGAGAAAAATTGTTCTCCTTAGCCTTTGATGATAGGACAAGAAGCAATGGGCTTATATTGCAGCAAAGGAGGTTGAGGTTGGACATTAGGAAAAACTTCCTAACTGTCAGGTTGGTGAAATACTGGAATAAATTCCGTAGGGAGGTTGTGGAATCTCTATCACTGGAGATATTCAAGAACAGGTTGGATAGACATTTATCAGGGATGATCTAGATGGTGCTTGGCCCTCCTGTGCGGGCAGGAGACTGGACTTGATGACCTCTCGAGGTCCTTCCAGTTTTAGTATTCTATGATTTAAAATGCAGTTTGCTAAATTAGACATTACAAAGTTAAAGCACTGAATCTGTTTAATAATTCTGATTAATATTTCCTCTCTCACTAGTTAAGTTAAACAATTCTCCCTAAACTGCAGCTCTAGCAAAATGACTCAGGCATAATTACATAATTAATGGGACGTTTCCATTAGCAGCTGATGGTCTGCAGAAAGGTTTGCACTGAGCCGGGTAGACCACAGGCCAAAAGGTTTGAGAACCGCTGACTTAGAGTATAGCTACACTGCAGCTGGGAAGGAGCTTCATGCCTAAATGACTTGTTCCAGCTCACACAGGAAAGTTTATTTGGGTTCCTTGACCATGGGATGGTGTTCCAAGAAGAAGGATTGATAAGCAGCTGCGCTCTTCCAAGCCCCAGCCTACTGCCTTTACATCTCTGTTCTGAAAAATTAATCATTTTGACAGGGTGGGTGTTCTGAAGCCCCTAATATTCTTAGCAAAATAGAAGACCTTTTAGAATAACTAAATTCTGAACTGTCAGGCTATGTCTACACTGCAGGCTTCTTGCGTAAGAATGGCCGTTCTTGCGCTAAAACTTGAGGAGAGTCTACACTGCACAAGCGTTCTTGCGCAAGTAAATTTACAGTAAAGCATCAGAAGAGAGGGCTTCTTACTCAAGAGTTATTCCTCTCCCCATGAGGAATAAGCTCGCTTGCTCAAGAGTTCTTGCGCAAGAGGGCAGTGTGAACGGACAACAGGGGTTTCTTGCGTAAGAAACTCCTATGGCTAAAATGGCCATCAGAGCTTTCTTGCACAAGAGTGTCCCCATTGCCATGGACGCTCTTGTAAAACACATCTCTTACGCAAAAGCACATGGTAGTGTGGACGCACTGTTGCACAGGAACTTTTGTGCAAGAACTCTTGCACAAAGCAGTTCTTGCGCAAGAAGCCTGCAGTGTAGATGTAGTCTCACAGTATAGAGACTCTGCTACACAACAGCACAAGTAGGTACAGTTCAAAGGGGGCATGCATTTGGATGAATAGTCTTTGTACTCACATCTTTCTTGTAAATAGATGTTTATTTCCTGAATAATGGGAGCAATGATGAATTGTTACATCACCATTTGATAAATGCAATTTCCATTATACAGTAAATATTTTAAAAATCCCTTTATGAATGAAACCCCCCAGAGAGAAACCATTAAGGAATTATGGTAATATGTTCAGAATTAGTGGAATGGACAATCCTTCCAGTCATTAAACAAGTTATTTACAGAATGCTCTTCAGAACACAATGGATGCCCGAGTGCTGTTAAAAGCAATTTTAAAAGGATGGTATAACAACAAACTGGTATGGGTTGCTGGAGCGAGTAACACTCATGCGCAATAGTGGTTTGTCTCTGTTGGTTGACAGTGGTACTCTGTGTTACAGTACAAAAGACAGGTAAAAAACAATTCACATCATTTTTCATCAACTGAGCGGTGAGTGTGTTTGGGCAGTGCAGAAAGTGATGAGAATGTAGTTACATTCAGATCTATTACATGTATATAATATTTATATGACATTAGTTCAAGGAGGCTTGGTCAGGATTGGGAGCCTGTTGTGCTAGGTGCTGTATAAATCGAAAAACAAGTGATAGTGCTGTCCCCCAAGCAAGCCCCAGAAATACTGTGTACTCCAAGTCCCGTGCTAATGGCTAGATCAACAAACACAGAACTTGCCAAGCTACTGACCACACAAAATCAATGTCCTAGCAAAAGTCTTTCAAACTATCATTTTAATTTATTCCTGGGCTCATCAGCACCTTGCTTCTTTAAATGTCTTGACATCTGGCACCGGGTATTGGCATTGACTGCTGTAGAAACAAATGACAAGCTAACAGAACCAAGTGATACATTATTAATGATATTTAGGCCAATGAACTGAAAGCTATTTCAAGAGATAGAAACAAACAGGTTTCTTTTGAATGAGTCCATTATAAACAGTACAAAATACAAACAAATCAAGCCTCCTGCCCTCCATCTTTTCCACTAGCTCAATAAAAATGACTGTTTTAAAAGAGCTCCATTCAGAAACCTTTCAAATGTTTGATTAGCACCTGCCTCTACAGATAGTTGATGCTTTTTGAAAGACGATGATCCAGGAATATATTTGTCCCAAATACCAAGAGTGCCTGATTTTAGATCAAAGTATGTAACCCTTCTCTCTCCAATAGCAACTCAACAATAGTTCTATGGGTTCCCTCCACTATAAAACATATTCACCCAGCCAGACCCTTTCCTCTGTAGCTCTCTGCTAGCTTCTTGTCCATGCCCGGCAACATGTCCTTCCAAATATCCCCACAGTCTATGGGAGTGATCAGTAAAGGCACCAATAATTAGCCGTCCAGACATTTCTAATTCTTCCTATGGGACAGGGCTGGATATCAGGCCATTGTTTGCTACCCATATATAATAATATGTCTGCTGAAAGAGTCATCTGTTAGAGTTTGAGTTATTGCTCTGAATCTGGTATCTCCCATTCATTCTCTTCTCTAACTTGATTTGTTGGTATTAATTTACATCTCATGATCTCCTACTCCTTCTATGAAAGTGCTTTCAGTAGAGCTATTTTTTTGTTCAGTGACAACTTGGACTGAAACTTTAAGGAATGATTTAAAACCCAAGTGCATGGAAAAATACACAATTGTGAACCTTCTTGGGAACAATGAATTGTAGGGGATCTACCCCCAGGGAGGGGCTTAAGTCCGCCCCCTCAGTTACCAAAGTCGTTTGCAATTCCACGCGACGCACTCCACTCGTGCCTCTCGGCGGTTGGGGGAAGGGGGTCCGGGCCCGCCCTCGCTCCGGACCCCAGCCCAGGGCCCTAAGGTTAGGGAAAGATTCCCCACCTAGCAGGGGGGGTCGAGACCCCTAAACTCCCCTGCTCTCAGGGTCCACGTCCCCGCTCTGGGCCACTTCTTCCCCCGAGGTTCGCTTGCCTCACCTGGGTTCACTCCCTGGTCCTGCCCAGGGTCTCCAGTATCTGCGACCGTCCACCGGCTCTTGGGGGAAGTACGCCTCCTCGGTCTCCCCCCCGCTTGCCGGCCTCCTGCGCTCCTTTGAACTGCCCGCCGGGCGCAGGCAGATGACGTCAGCGCCCTCATCGGCCTCGGGCCCCTCCCCCGGCCGACCTCCCCGTGACGTCCCTCCTCCCGCCTCCTCCTGCTGCTCATTGGCTGTGGGGCC